TCTCTCTCTCTCTCTCTCTCCCATCTCTCTCTATCTCTGTCTGTCTTTTAAAGAACAGTTGTTCTTCCAGGGTTAACCGGTGGGCGGTGGCCACAATGATGTAATTATGGTATTCTTTGCTTCTTCCACTTATTTGTTTTGCTGTTCTGCTAATCTGTAACTTATAATACCCCCCTTGGAGTTCCTGGCATCAAATGGCACGACAAATACCAGACACGGAAGTTCCCAAAAGAGCAAATGTCGAGAGTTTTATTTTCTAAGAGACTTAGCTTCTCTGGCCTGGCGATGTCGTTAGAATGCTTGTTTTTAGAATCCTAAAAACAATATTCTGTTCCAAGCTGTCCTCAGGAAAGCGTTACGTTGGTGCAAAAAAAGAAGAAGAATAATAATAGTAATAATGATAATAATGATAATAATAATAATAATAATAATAATAATAATAATAATAATAATAATATAATAATAATAATAGTAATAAAACAACAACATACACACGAAGCGCTACAATGTACAAAGACACCCTGAAAATGTATCTGAAGATCTTCAATATTAATCCCTTGACATGGGAGAACCTTGCCCCTTACAGACTTAGTTTCAGAGCAGCATTTACAATAGGCAACTAATCATATATGACACTTTACGAATTTAAAATTTGGGAGCCAAGAGAGAATCCCGCGAGCTGTTCATATATATGCACAAGTGAAAATGAAGCTTTTAAGCGTTCAAATTGTGGCAAACTCTTCTCTGCCAAATTGACCTCATCTGCCATTGCAGAGGTCACAAGTCATCTCAATTTTTATTTATTCTTCTAATTCGCCCAAAGTTTTTCTCCCGCAGATGCATTGGTCGTTGCCAGATATTGACGGACAAACTCTTTTTATTACTTATCCCCAGTGCACGTTGTCCATCGGATTCATTGGGCTGAGTCAGGACCAATCCGATTTTCCTTCATTAATTGAACATAATAAAAGCTACCATTTTGAAACATTACGATTTTGAAGGTCATGGATCGAACCAATGGCATGGTGTCATATAGGAAGCATTCCCCCATCCATGAGGGAAAATCTGGATGACCCTGACACCATCCGACAATGAATCCAATTGGCAATGTGCAGTGGGTATTCGCGAAATTTGATTTACCCTACCGATTGTACGCAGACTCGGGACTGACCCGGGATCCGATGCGATGATTGGCATGTTCGCACTCGTGAACTGCTGGTGCTTGCCGGACGCTCCCTTTCGAAACAATTGAAGATCGCAATGTTAAGTCAGGTGTATAACACCCCTTGCCTGCCCATCTTCCCCCCAGTCCCTCTCCCTCTCCCTCTCACTCTCTCTCTCTCTCTCTCTCTCTCTCTCTCTCTCACACACACACACACACACACACTCGTTCTCTTATGAATTTTCCCTCTCTCTGTCTTTCCTTTTTTTCCCTATGCTACTCAATCTTCTTCTCAACTCTGCTCTGATTTTTATGTTTTTGAATTTAGCACTAGTTTCTTGCCGACACAGGGAGGGAGGGAGGGAGATAGATAGATAGATAGATAGATAGATAGATAGATAGATAGATAGATAGATAGATAGATAGATAGATAGATAGATAGATA